CTTTTGCCGTATCTGCGAAGCTACTAAAGCGGCTTGTTGATCGCAGAAGCGTGAGGTCGGCAGAAGCGGACGGAACCTCGCATAAGCGAGTCCGCAGAAGCGACACTAAGGTCATAGAAGCAGAGGTAGTGAAAGCTGGAAAAAACCGCAGAAGCGAGTCCGCAGAAGCAGCAAAATGATCGCAGAAGCGGTTAAAAATTTTGTAGGTGCGGAACATCTGGGCAGTGAACAAAATAGAGGGTTCCGAGCTTTTGCCATTTTTGGTCATTTCTAACATGGGTTGAGGCGATGTTTCATAGAGAATTCATGGGAAATCTTGAGGTAAGTCACTTGTGGTCATTATTAGTCAATAATATTGAATTATCATTGAGTATTCTGACTAGATTACGTGTTTTTGATGTGTAATTCGAGAAATTGGGCCTAGGGGTTTGAAAATAAGATTTGAGATTTGGAGGTCGAGTTGATGTCGGATTTTGGTAAATTTGATATGGTTGGACTCGTGGTTGAATGGACGTTTATATTTTGTATCTTTTGTCGGGTTCTGAGATGAGGGCCCCACTGATAATTTTTGAGTTGAATTTTGAAGTTTTGCTGGAAAATTAGTATTTTCTTATGGAATTAACTCCTATAATTTGTGTTGACTGTATCGAATTAATTGTGACTAGATTTAAGGCGTCAGGAAGCCGATTTGTGAGGCAAAGGCATATTGGAATAAAGAACTTGCATGGTTTTAGGTAAGTAACACTTCTAAACTTGGTTCTAAGGATATGAATCCCTGAATTACGTGTTATGTGAATTGTTTGGAGGTGACACACATGCTAGGTGATGGGCGTGTGGGCGTGCACCATAGAAATTGTGACTTAAATAAATTCCGTAGAGTTGTATAATCAAAGAATCATGTCATTATCCATATATCCTCCACGTGTTGGAGAAATTGAGCTGAGACTCATATTAAAGATCATGTTTAGGCTACGTGCCGATATTTTTGGGACCCACATGGGTCATGTTGCTGTTGAATTATTTGTTTAAATTGTAATTGTGTACTCAGTCACATCTATCATTTGCATATCATATCTCCGTCTCTGTTGTCATTCATTGATACGTCATATCATCATGTCAGGTTGATTTTTATGTCATTGAGAGCCCGAGAGACTGGAGATTTTGAGTGATATTTATGGGATCTGGTTGCACACCGCATCATGTTTTATTCATTTATGCCTGGATCTGGCTTATTATAGCTCTTGGGCTGAAGGAGCCCCTCTGGAGTCTGCACCCCCCACAGTGAGCGTAGTTTCTTTATATTTGGGAATGAGTTCCCTAGGCATGGATTTGCCTTATCTATTTATATTCTGGATGGTGTTCCCTAGGCATGGAGTTTCTTATTCATATATATATATATGGGGATGGAGTTCCCTGGGCTGGATTGGCCTTGTACGGTACTGAGTGACTGACTGTCAGTTGATATATATGTATTTGGGATAGAGTTCCCTGGGATGGATTGGCCATAAACAGTACTGAGTGATTGAGTATTCTGAGAGTGTGATATATTTTGGCATGTAGATATAAGGATGTCATATTCCTGATATCATGCAGAATTTATCTATTTTACTTGTATTGAGTTTAACTGTTGAACTTGAGAATATGCCTACATTTGTTTACTATTATTTGTATATTGGTTTGTACCTGTGGAGCTCGTCACTACCTTTAGCCCAAAGGTTAGTCTTGTTACTTATTGAGTACATAGGGTCAGTTGTATTCATACTACACTTTGCAATTCGTGTGCAGATCCAGGTACTTCCGGCGACTGCTAGATTTCAGAGTTTTACCTGCTGGAGATTATCGAGGTAGCTGCTTGGCGTCCGCAGACCTTGACTCTTTTCCTTTTCAGGTATTTGTGTTGTTCTATATTTCCAGACAGTATTTTTATGAGTCACACTATGTTATCATTTAGATGCTCATGTACTCAGTGACACCGAGTTTTGGGAGTGTATTTGTATCAGTATTTGTGGGATTTTACTCTTAAATTTATTTATTGTATTTTCAAACTTAAAAGAAATTATGGTTATTGAGGTTGTCGGCTTGTATAGTATTGAGATAGGTGCCATCACGACAGGTGTGATTTTGGGTCGTGACAATTTCGCACTTGTTGAAGTTGAGCCTTTGCTAGTTGATTCATGGTGGTAGTTAATTCGGCTATGGCTTGTTCATGGTCATGCAATTCTTTGTGAAGGTGGATCACGTTGGGATCACCTTGTGGAAAATTAGCTCGGGATTGCCACACCGATGATGTTTCCACTATTTCATCTAAAATCTCACACGCCTCCGCATAAGGCGTAGTCATAAAATTTCCATAGGCAAGTTGATTCACCACACATTGGTTGGTCGTGTTAATCCTACGATAGAAGGTTTGTTGAATCATGTTTTCCGTCATATCGTTGTTGGGACATTCCTTGACCATTGTTCTATATCGCTCTCATATCGCATGCAGTGGTTCATTGGGCTCTTGCTTGAATGCTAGAATCTCATCCCGAAGTGTAGCCATATGCCCCGGAGAAAAGAAATTTGAAATAAACTTTTTCGCCAACTCATCCCAAGTGTGAATGGAATGGTTTGGCAAATGTTCCAACCAATCTAAAGCTTACCCCCGTAGAGAGAAGGGAAAAAGCCTTAGCCTCAAAGTATCCTCGAAGACATTTGTTTGTATACTCCCCTAACACGTGTCCACAAACCCCTTTAAATATATGTATGAATTTTGACTTGGAGCACCGGTGAAGAACCCTCGTTGCTCTAGCAAAGTGAGCATCATGTTGGTGATTTGAAAGTTGCCCGCCCTAATATTGGGAGGGACTATTTCACTTACATATCCTTCATTGGGTAGCACCCGATGTGGAGCAGCTCGTGGTAGAGGTGGGGGTGGGACGGGCACATTGTCATGAGGCATTTGTCCTCTTCTATTGGCTTGAGGTTCAAGAGGAACCTCATCCACTTGGTCATCCTCAATGTCCACATCCCCAAAGCTATATTTTTGAGCTCATTGTTTGCCGTGGTTGTACCTACGATTTGTCAAACAAGTTAGTAACACGGAAGGAAAAGAAGATTCTCCAAAAACACACCCAAATATATAACTAACACCGTTTTTAAATCCCCGGCAACTGCGCCAAAAATTGATCGCGTCCAAATGCATACCTTTAAAAATGTATGAAATGTTCGTTTTCAATAATAAAACCCAACTAAGAGTTGGGGTCAAATCCACAGGGAGCTAAGATGGGAGTTAGGAGTATATAATCTAATGTGCAAGATTGAATTATCTTGATTTACACTTCCACAAAAAAGGTTTTGTTTCTATTTCTAATTTTACACTAAAGTTTACAGAATAAAGAAAGAAGACTAGGAATAGTTATTTTTGAGGTTTTTCAAATTGGTAAAAAGCCTAGGGTTGTGACCATTGCCTAGGTGTTTGCCTAATGGGATAAAGACCTTCATGCTTGTTTTGTTGATCAGGGTATATTATTGCTATCAACTCTAAATTACCCACTCAATACCTCTCGGTGAGAGAGTGGTTTTTCCCAATTTGGCTTTCTCAAGACCAAATAGGTATCACATAAAACAGTTGATAAAAGCTCAAGTCGGGTTATTACTATCTCTAGGTTGAACCCTTTAATTAGGTTAATCAATCTCTCGATTGACCCAATTCCTTGTTAGCCAAGTTTTTCTAGACTAAGTCTCTCTTTCTCAAGTAGAGACTAAGTCAAATAGGCATGAACTAATGTTTGCAACCATTAATTCCACAAATTAAAGCATGAATTAGGATAAATAATAAATATCAATCATAAACAAGCACTAAATTAGATACCCATAAGGTTTACACACTAGGGTTGGGTCACAACCCTAGTAAAAATCTAGCTACTCATGCTTGGGTTTGAAGAAAAAGAAAAAGAAAGTCTAATTAAATACATAATGTAAGCTTAAAATAATAAAATCTATTGTAAATTACATCAAAATATAGTGAACTTCCAAAAAAGGCAAAGAAAAACAGCTACAGTAATTGCCGATGTCAAAACTTGACATAATTTTGTGAAACTCTTCCATTTATACAAGTCTGAAAATCTAAAACAAAAATACCCCTCAGGAGGTTCTGTAACCGCACAATTTCATGTGCGGTCCGCAGATTTCTTCATCTTGGCAGGAATTTGAGTTTTGCGGCCATACATTTCTAAACTGCGGCCGCGAGGCAATCTTCTACGGTCCGCACAATTATGTCTGCGGTCACAAGTCATCCTTCTGTGGTCCGCACAATTATGCCTGCGGTCGTAAGACACTTCTTCTGTGGCCGCACAATTCTTGTGCGGTCCGCAATTCTCAGAGGCCCGGGACTTGGAAATTTGCATACTCTCTGATCTTGGATCCTATCCCAGTTCTTGCGGCCGCACAATTCAGGTGCGATCCACAATTTGCACACATGTCTGCTGGGTTTTTCTTCCTTGTTTGCGGCCACAGATGAGAATCTGTGGACCGCACATTGCATGCTTCTGTGTCCTTTATTGCCTTGTGTTTAGATTACTCCTTTTTGAGTTGGATTTCATCTCGGGAGTCCAACTTCCAGCACTCCTGCAATTTTGTATATTTCATTAGTTTCGGGAACACAATTCAATACTTTTAGACTAAAACAAAAGATAAAAGGCGTTAATAAGCAGTCAAAATCCCCACTTATCAAGTGGCAAAAGAGAAGGTTGATGCACGGGCTCGTCAAAACGAGGACCATCAAGCTCAACTGGGCTCAGCCATTACTGAATCGGATCCCCTTAGCAAGGAGCTCAAAATAACGAGGTCCAAGTCGGAAGCAACCAAGGCTGATGTTGAAGATATGGTGGCCTAGTGTAGGGCTAATGTCGAAGCAGTCGCGGCTCGCCTAAAAACTACCGTCGAGTATGTTAGGCGGCTATCTCTGAGGAAGACCCTCGAAGATATCCATGCCCGAGGCTTCAACCTGTCGGGCGAGACTAAGGAGGTGAAAAGGCTTGAGGTCGAGGCCAAAAGCCGGCTGAACCCGAGGATGAAGAAGGCTCTGAGGGCTCCGACGAACCTGAATATGAAGAAGGCCCAAATAGCTCTGGCGACGAGGTGGGTTCTGGTGAAGATCACGCGTAGGTGCCATAGGAAATTTTGTCTTTTTTTTTTGATTAAAACAGACTTTCCATTTCATCAAAAAGTGTCTTTACAAAACCAGGTTGATGCTGACCACCAGCCTCCTAATTACATTTACAGTTAGCTATACTAATTACACTTTCAAGCAAATTACAACTATTCTACGGATTCTTGTTCAATCCTTGTAAAGTTAGTTGCCATTTGCTATTTGATCTTCCTTGAACATACATGTGTATGGCAATCTCTCTACATATCCCATCTGCCTCATATCTGCCTTTGTTGAATCTGAGGGAATTCCTTTCTCGCCAAATATAGTAAACTACCATGGCAAAAGCTGAAGAAGTCATAGCAACCATTCCAGTTTTCCTTTTAGCTGTGTTACTTATCCATTCTATATCGGTTTGCCAACTGCCTACTCTCCTTGTAAATCCTAGCCATTTGAGTATTCTATTCCATATTGTGTTGGTACATGAGCACTCGAAAAATAGGTGACTAAATATTTCTATGCTCCTAGCACAAAAGGCACATTCCAGTGGTACATGAATCCCAAACTTTTGTAATCTATCCACAGTGGCTAGCCTCTGATGAATTGCCAGCCATAGATGAAACTTAAACCTTGGATGAATCTATGGATGCATATGTATACTCTTCCAGCCAACCTTTGAAAATTGGGGTTGCATCTGAACATAGGCTCTCTGAATTGGAAATCTGCCTTGCTTCTCCATATCTGCTAATGCTGCATTAAGGCTAGTCTGCATTGTGCTCCCCTGTAACAAATCTTTCTTTTCTTCTATGATCTTCCTGACCACCCAAGCTGCTGTCTTAGGTGTGTCCATTGTGTTAACTTCCCTCTGTTTTATGTAATAGCAATGAGTCCATTTGATCCATAATGCATCCTTTTTATTTGTCAGTGCCCATAATTGTTTTAGGATTGGTGCTTTATTCCATAGCCTCATGTTGATAATGTTTAATCCCCCAGCTGCTTTTGGTTGACAGACTTTGTCCCAAGCTATCAGTGCTTTCCTAGATGTAGCACTTGAGCTAGTCCAAAGGAATATTCTGTAAATTATTTCAATCATCTTCATAATCTTCCTACGCAGTATGAATATTTGAGCCCAATAAGTCTGCATGCCAAATAGCACAGACTTAATGAGTTGCACTCTTTCTGAATATGATAACATCCTTGCTGACCAGCAACTAACTATTTCAATGATCTTCTCCACTAATGGCAAACATTGGTGAATGTTTAACTTCTTGGCAGACAAGGGAACTCCTAGGTACGTGAAAGGAATTGATCCCTCTGTATATCCTATCAGGTTAAGCAATGAGGCTTTGATGTCCTGGTGTACTCCAGCAATGTACATGGAACTTTTGTCTGCATTTGCCTGAAGGCCAGATGCAGCAAAAAATCTTTGAAAGGTTTCCTGCATTTTGGTCACTGAGTTTATGTTTGCCCTGCAAAACATAAGTAAGTCGTCAGCAAAGCAAATATGAGTCACTCCCAGCTTTTTGCATCTTGGATGATATTTGAATTACTTTGTGTCAGGTAGTTGATTCATCTCTCTTTGTAAGTACTCCATTGCAATGACAAATAGGTAGGGAGACATGGGGTCTCCTTGGCTAATCCTCTCTTGGCCTGGAATGGTTTGGTAAGGCCACAATTGAGCACCAATGAGTAGGACACAATTGAAACATATTCCATTATCCAATAGATGAACTTTTGAGGGAACCCAAGGTCAGTTAGCATACACCTAAGGAACTACCAATTCAATGAATCATAGGCCTTTCTAATGTCCATTTTTAGCACACATCTGGGTGATAAACCTTTCCTATTATAGCCTTTGAACAACTCATGGCTAAATAGGATGTTATCAATGATGCTCCTTCCTTCAATGAATACAGACTGTGACTTCCCTATGATCACCTCTATCACCCTCCTTATTCTTCTAGTCAGTATCTTAGCAACAACCTTATACAGTGTAGTGCAACATATTATAGGCCTGTAATCTTTCACTTTAGATGGAGCTGGGACCTCAGGAATTAGTGTAATAGCAGTACAACTCCATGCTGGCATCATTCTCCCTGTGTGAAAGAAATATAACACTGCCTCATATATATCCTGCTTCACAGTCTCCCATTGCTTAGTGAAGAATTATATAGGAAAACCATCCACTCCAGGGGCTTTATCCTTTGGCATATCCCTAATTGCTTCATCAATCTCTTCATGAGTTATATCCATTATCAGTTCCTGTTGATGCTGTAATGTGAGGCAATTGACTGCTTTTATGATACTAGTATTAGGGCATGGCATTAATCCATTAGCCTTTCCCATTAGCTGTGTAAAGAAATCAGTAAACTCATTTTCCACAACCTTTGGATAAGTGATCTTCATTCCCATGTCATTATATACTGAAGTAATATTGTTCTTGCTGGCCCTTATTTTCAGCAGTGCATAGAAGTATTTAGAGTTGGATTCACCATAATCAATCCATGTTGCTCTAGATTTCTTCCTCAAGATTCTTTCTTCTATTGTACTGCATTTCTCCAAATCACTCATATTCTGCTTCTCCTGCTCAATCAATAGTTGATTAAAGGGATCAATGACCAGAGCTGCTTGAACACATTCCAAACTCTGCCTTATTTGAATCAGTCTCTGTTCATAGCTTGCCATAATCTTGTTCAGACCCTTAGCCTCATCTTTTAATCTTTTTAGCTTCAGCCATATGAGTGTCATAGGATCCTACCTTTCCTATTGTTGCCATACTCTATTCACCATAGGAGTGAAGTCTTTGTGGTCCATTGTCACCATGTATAACTTGAATGGCTTTGGGTAGATAGTTCTTCTCTTCCATAATTGAACTACAATTGGGGAGTGATCAGATACTCCAGGTTCCAGAAAATCTGCTTCTAGATGTCCATATGTCTGAGTCCAACTGAAGTTTTCAAAAGCCCAATCAATTTTACTGTATACTTTATCACTAGCATGCTATTTGTTCCACCAGGTGAAGAAGCACCCCTTTGTTCTTAGTGGGGTCAGTTGCATGTTATCAATATACTGCTTGAAGTCCTGCACCTCACTAGTTGTTACTGGTTGTCCTATTCTGTCATCAGTGGTTAACACATTGTTAAAATCCCCACTAATAAGCCATGGTATTTGAATATGACCACCTAGCATCTGCAATTCATGCCATAGACTTGCCCTTTCCTGCACCTTATTCGTAGCATATACTGCTGTCAACATAATCTGGAAATTTGTTGCTTGATCTTCCACTGAGCAATGAATGAATTGTTCATGTATTTGGAGTACCTTAACTATCGTGTTTTCCATAAAAGCCAAATCCTTTCATTTACAGATTTAGTGTAGTTGCAACAGTAGCCCCAATCTCTAGCTACCATGTTCACTATAGTTTTTGCCTTTCTTTCTATTACTCTAGTTTCTAGACACCCAAGGATATCTATTTTATTCTTTTGCAGAAAGAGTCTTAACTCTTTCCGTTTATAGGGCTTGTTCAGCCCTCTAATATTCCAAGTGCACACAATCATGGGGGTTTGAGGGCAGGATCAATCCCAATCTTATCTACTTTTGAAGTGCTTGGCACATACTCTCCCAAAATTTTGAACCTATTTGTAGTGATTCCCTCTTCATTTTGAGAATTCTGAATTCTGTGGCTATGCTGAATTCAGAATGCAACCCTGTGGCTATGCTGAATTCTGCAATCTTCATTTCTACTGGTCACTTGTATAGGAGCATCTTCAGCTACTGCTTTTTGTTTACCCTTTCCTGCCTCTACTTGTTGATTCTCTTCTTCTTTCCCATCTACTTTCCCTTCTTGCTCTTGTTGTTCTTTTGGCTTCCACTCCTGAACTATTTTCTTCTTTCTAACTCTATTCCTTCTTTTTGGAGCTTTAAATTCAGCTTCTTCATTGTTCTGATGCTTATTTCTCCAACACTCAAAACTATCATGGCCAAAGTAGATACATTCACTGCAGAACTTTGGCTTCCATTCATACAGAATTTCTTGTTGAATAGTTCCTGATGGAGTATCAATCTCTATACTCTCCAGTATTGGCTTAGTGATATCAACCTTCACTAAGACCCTTGCATATGATATTTTGTTAAGGTCAGCTGTGTATCTGCCAGTATACATAGGGGTTCCAATAGCACTAGCCACTTTGCTAAGTGCATCTGCAGTCCAATATCCAACAGGTAAGCTTGGAAAATGTAACCACAAAGGAATAGTTGTAATGCATTTAGGGTCAAAATGAAATTCTCTTTCCCAGTTTTGTAGTATGAATGGTTTGTTGTGATACGAGTATGGTCCTGCTTGCATTACTAGATCCCTATCTTCAATTGTTGAGAATATAAAAACATAGTAGCCATCACTGTGATACAAAATTTGAGGTTTCGGTACAAAATCCCAAACTGAAGCAATATAAGCCTCCATAGATTTCTCATATGGAGTATCACCTAGAACATAACCAATTAAGGCAGTCGCCCAATGGTCATTCAATTCTCGAACATCTTCCTCTACAATTTGTACAACAATCTTACCATCTCGATGAATTGGTGGTACATAGTCCAGTCTCATGCCCATCTGAGAATTGCGATTTTGCTGTCTAAGCTCCTTTGCATGTTGCTTCAGTTTGTTTCCTCCATTTGCTATTGCTGCATATTGTTCTAGGTTTGGGAAAGGTTGCGCCGAAGATCCTGCCTCTGAGAACTGTAATCTTCGTGGAATTGTTGGCTTTTGGCCCTTGCATTTATGATTTTCCTTCTCCTCAGCTAGATCTGTACTGTTCCATTGCTTTTCACTGTTACATTCCTCCTCAGCAGTTGTTTCAATTTCCTCTCAAATTGGTTGGAATCAAGTAGAAAGGAAGCTACCAAATGTTAATGGAGTGAACGTTTGAAGTCCTATGGTCGCCGGAGTTACAGTTAAACTCACTGTTGTTGGTTGTTTCTGCCTTTTTGCCATCGCTGGTGCAAGTTAGCCTGCCTTGGCTAAACGTGCGCCGAGAGAGACATTGGGGATTCATCCTTAACAGTTACAAATTGTGAATTTTTGTCTATATTTTTGCATCTTGTACATTTATTTTGTTGAGGCCATTTTCATTGGCCTTTGTAAAGCCATTCTGGAATGTATACATAAAGTTTTTTCCTTTTGGCAAATTTCAAGTCTATTACCTTTATATTGCAAAGATTTCAAATACCTTAGCACAGAATAAAACGTAGTAATAAGTCATTTTTCGGAGGTCCGAACAAGACTTGTCCTCGATGCAAGTTTTGCTTGAAACTTATGGGGGCTCGGAGTGACCGGAAGCTTTCCCCAAGATGCTTGTTTAAATGTTTTTAGACTATAATTTTGCCGAGAGTAACCTTTGAACAGGTTATGAATTTTGTTGAAGGCCTTATGTTTTGATTATGCGCTTCAGATGTCTCCGAACCATTTTTAGGGTGGCCGTAGCCTTTTAGGTTTGGGCTCTACCTAATAGGTTTTGTGCCTCCGAGTTTTGATAACCCGAGACATCTAAACTTATCAAGGACGGCAGTCCCCGAGTGGGGGTATCCCTTTGGGCTCGAATAGGGGTGGCTCTTGGGCTTGATAGTTATCGGGTAGGAATAGCCCTTAGGCTTGATACTTTTAAGAAGAAAAAAATGTTTGTTAGCAAGGTAGAAACTTTCTTTCATTTCTGTTCGTAACGTACAAGATTGTATAAAAGATCGTAATGCGGCCGGTTTAACCTACGCGGGCACAGTTCATTTGACCTTTTGGCCCTTACATTGAATCCTTACCACAGAGTTTCCTTCCTTGCTAAAAATCACGACCCGAGGGTAATGGCCCCCAGTATTCGAGGTCAATCTTCGAGTGGAATCGGATACTGTTGATGCGACCATTGACTCTGATTTAGAACCGGTCTTCGACTCTAAGTTAGCATGATTTATTGTTGTGTCGTTAAAAACCTTACCGAAAAACTCATTTGGGACAAAATCGATTTAAGGAAAAAAGAGTGCAACGTGTGCTTTCAGGCCTAATCAGCTACATTCTCCTTTGGCTATTGCCTGCAAGTGTTAGCCAAAATAAAATAAATAAAAGAAAATAAATGATGGCGTACCTTAGTAGTAGTATTGTTTTAAGTGGGTCACATTCCAGTTGTTTGGTAGATGTGTGCCTTTTCCCGTTCGAGTTTGTACAAACCTTTGCCGGTAATCCCGATGACTCAATATGATTATTCCCAGTTCAGTCCTAGCTTCCCTTTATTAGCTTCCCTTTATTCGGGTTCCGGGTATTCTGTGTTACTCTTCTTAATACCAAGTCTCTGATGTTGAAATGTCGGAGGTTGGCTCTTCGGTTGTAATATCTTTCTATCCACTATTTTTGGGCGGCCAGCCGGACTAGAGCGACCTCGCGTCTCTCATCCAGTAGTTCTAGGCTCGTTCTCATGGCCTCGCCGTTGGATTCTTCAGTTGCATATCGAAACCTGAGGCTCGGTTCTCCCACCTCGACCGATATTAGTGCTTCAGCACCATAGACCAACAAAACGGGATGGCCCCGATACTGGATTTTGAGGTTGTGCGATATGCCCACAAGACTTCGGACAGGATTTCCTTCCATTTCCCTTTGGCATCGGTCAACCTTTTCTTAAGGTTTTGAAGGATTGTTTTGTTCGTCGACTGTGCCTGCCCATTCCCACTAGGGTGATAGGGTGGTGACAAGATCTTCCTGATCATATGGTCCTCAAAAAATTTACTTACTTTGTTGCCGATGAACTGCTTCCCATTATCACATACTTTCTCGGCTGACATACCAAACCGGCATATGATGTGGTCCCAAATGAAGTCAATGACTTCTTTTTTTCGGACCTTATCGAATGCTTGGGCTTCAACCCATTTAGAGAAATAGTCAGTCATAAATAGTATAAATTAAGCCTTACCGGGTGCCCATGGTAGGGGACCGATGATGTCCATTCCCCACTTCATGAACGGCCAGGGCGACATGACCGAGTGTAGTAACTCCCCGGGCTGATGGATCATTGGTGCGTGCCTCTGACAGCCGTCGCATTTTTGCATGAACTCCTTCGCATCTTTCTCCATGTCTATCCAGTAATAGCCAGCTCTGATTATCTTACGAACCAAAGATTCTGCCCCCGAATGGTTTTCGCAGATGCCTTCGTGAACTTCCCTCAAAACATATTCGGTGTCTCCCGGCCCCAAGCATATGGCGAGTGGGCCATCAAACATTCTTCTGAATAGAGTATTATCTTCGGACAAGCTAAACCTGGCCGCCTTCGTGCTCAGAGTTCTCGATTCATTGGGATCCGAAGGTAGCTTCCCAGTCTTCAGGTAATCTATATACTTGTTTATCCAGTCCCACGTTAAACTTGTCGAGTTTATCTCGGCATGGACTTCTTCCACTACTGATTTCATGAGTGGTACGGCTATTCCCGAGCTGAATTCATCGTCATCAACTGATGACCCCAAGTTAGCCAGAGCATCGGCTTCTCTATTTTGATCCTGGGGCATGTGTTGTAGAGTCCATTCCTTGAATCGATGTAGCATTACCTATAGTTTATACAAGTATCTTCGCATTCGTTCCTCTTTCACTTCGAATGTCCCATTGACTTGATTTACCACAAGGATGGAATCACATTTAGCTTCGATCACTTCGGCCCCCAGGCTCTTAGCCAATTTGAGACCTGCAACCATGGCCTCATACACGGCCTCATTGTTAGTCAATTTCATAGTTCTAATAGATTGCCTAACTACGTTACCCGTGGGCGGCTTCAACACGATGCCGAGTCCGGACCCCTTTGCATTTGAGGCACAGTTCGTAAAGAGGGTCCAGATCCCCGAGGAGGTCCCCGAGGTTATCATAATTCCTTTTTGACTTCGGGTACTAAGGCCGGCATGAAGCCGGCCAAGAAGTCTGCCAAAATTTGAGATTTGATGGCGGTTCGGGGTTGATATTCGATATCGTATCCGCTAATTTCCATGGTTCATTTGGCCAATCATCCCGAGAGCTCGGTTTTGTGCATTATGTTCCTCAACGGGTAAGTAGTTACGACACATATGGGATGGCATTGAAAATATGGCTTTAACTTCCTAGAGGTGCTTAGCAAAGCGAGCGCCAATTTCTCCAGGTGAGGATACCTTGTTTCCGCCTCGCCTAGAGTCTTGCTAACATAATATAAAGAAAATAGCGTACCTTCCTCTTCCCGGACTAAGACTCCACTTACTGCTATCTCGGATACCGCTAAGTACAGGTACAACTGCTCGCCTGCCTTCGGAGTTTGAAGCAAAGGTGGACTCGAAAGGTACCGTTTGAGTTCTTCCAAAGCTTGTTGGCACTCCGGGGTCCACAAAAAGTTATTCTTCCTTTCAACAATGAGAAGAGCTGATGGCTCTTATCGAAGGACCTTGATATGAACCTACCCGGGGCGGCTATACGCCCAGTTAACCTTTGAACGGCCTTGACATTATCCACTACGGTGATGTTTTCTATAGCTTTGATTTTGTCGGGATTGATTTTGATTCGCTGGTTAGACACTATGAATCCGAGGAACTTCCTGAACGCGACCCTGAATGCGCATTTCTCCAAGTTAAGCTTCATATTATATTTCTTCAGTATGTTGAACGTTTCCTATAAATGTTCCAAATGGTCCTCTGCTCGCAGGGACTTAACTAACATGTCGTCAATGTAAACCTCCATTGATTTTCCTATTTGTTCTCCTAACATCCAGTTTACTAGGCGCTGATAAATGGCACCGGCGTTCTTTAGTCTGAACGGCATTACGTTATAACAATAGGTGCCGTATTTAGTGATGAAGGAAGTCTTTTCTTGGTCGTCCGGGTCCATACGGATCTGGTTGTACCCGGAATAGGCATCGAGAAAGCTGAGTATCTTATGGCCGGCCATCGCATCGATCATGAGATAGATGTTAGGCAAAGGAAAAGAGTCCTTAGAGCATTCCTTGTTCTAGTCTTTGTAGTCTACACACATTCTTAATTTATTTCCTTTTTTAGGCACTACTACTACGTTTGCTAACCAATCCAGGTACTTAATTTCCCGAATGGAACCTATTTTAAGGAGTTTGAATACCTCGTCTTTGATGAATGCGTGCTTGACTTCGGATTGAGGTCTCCTCTTCTGTTTAACCGGGTGGAACTTCGGGACCAAGCTCAGCCTGTGAGTGGTAATTTTTGGTGGGATCCCTGTCATATCAAGGTGGGACCAAGCGAAACAATCTATGTTAGTTATAAGGAATTCAATGAGTTTCTTCCTGAGCTCGGGAGTTAGCCCTGTGCCCAGGTATACCTTCCGATCAGGCAAGTGCTCGATCAATCTAACTTGCTCCAACTCCTCAACTATTGACTTGGTGGCATCGGAATCGTCAGGGGCTATGAACGACCTAGGGACTCTATAATCATCATCCTCACTTGTCTCTTGCTTTTTTGGTTCAGTCGGAGCCGATGTTGGTGATTGCTACTTGGTTTCTTCCTTGGTAGTCATACTCAGGTTCATTAATATTGAGATTGCGGGTATCAGGGTCACCTCATCGACATCGAACATTTCTTTTGCATCCGGCTGTTCTTTGTAAACAGTCTTGATCCCTCCTAGTGTGGGGAATTTCAACGCCTGATGTAGCGTCGAGGGTACTGCCCTCATGTTGTGAATCCATGACCTTCAGCATCCTCGTTGTTGAAAGATACGGTTCCCTCCGGTACATAATCTTAAGTCCATTTTTCCCTTGTAATGGACACCTTAGTGCTCTTTAACATCGGCCCTTGGGAGACGTCAAATGATCATGTTAATGACGTGTTGAGGTTCCTCTTCTCGATTTGCTTGTTGGAGCCCCTATTCCTGAAGTGATTTTTGGCTCGATCACTCAGAAATTCTCGAAGGTGTCCGTTATTGAATAACTAGGCTACTTCTTCTCTTAGTTGTCGGCAGTCTTCGGTTATGTGGCCTTGAGTACC